TTGGCTGTGAGGTCACACTGAAAACCAGAGGGCTGGTGGGAGAAGCGGACCAGGGGACATCTTGCATTGAGAATCTTCTGCACCCCGACACATCCAGGTCCAAACCGGTCAACGCACTCCCCGATAACAGACAAAATGCTCTTAGTCACATCCCGTTCGGAGTTCTCACTCTTCATCTGATACTCCATGAACAGACCGGCTTTTGGCTGCAACACAGAGTTTAGAGATGTCACATGATCCTAAATGTATGGTATCAAACATACCAAAGTACATCAGAATTTGTGTATTGTGACGATAAAGTTCTCATGATAGAGCAAAAAGGCATTGCAAGTAGCACTGATCATATCATATCATATGACAAATGAGAAAAAAACATCAATTTACGACTTTTTCTACATTAAACTTATTACTGTGTAACGAAACAGCACAAACTACCCTGGTGGGACTTTACTGTATTTTTTTATACATAACATCAGGGTTGTTAACCTTTGCCACTCTGGAAACAGCTCCAAAGTGGTACAAAGCCGACCACATGCACATGATTCATCTTCAGTTACTCTGCACATCAGAAATGTCTACAGTTCAAGATGCCGTCAAATGTCTTATTTTTACCGACCAGCGATCAAAAACCAATCGATGTTCAGTTTGCTTGTAATGCTTGAAATGTGACTACAATCCTACAGATGACTGACTTTATGTCACACGTCTACAACGATTCTATTCCCCTGCTATTTAACATCAGGGAGAAAAAACATGGTTTATCAAACAAGTCTTTATCAGCAGTATTGTTCAATATGTATTCCTGTGGCATCTTTATTGGACCATTAAAACCGTGTTTACTATCATTATCTGTTTCGATATAATCTATGGTTTCTCTACAGGTAGAGTTTTCGATTTAGAAAATGTTTTATATCTGCCTCAATTTTATTTGAATGTGTGAAGTGAATGCCACCACACTAAAATGAAGTGGACGGTTACCATGGTTGAACACACATTCCTTTAAGCAAAATATTATGAAAATGACACTCTACTCATCTAGTTCATGTCACCTTAACAACATACAGTCATGGAGGGATGTCAGGCTACAGTAGGCTTCAATAGGATGCAGCAAAGATCATCTGTGGCATCTCTAAAAACCTGCTTCTCACTTTTTTGTCTTCAGTTTCACCCTGCAGTGCTCTGCACCCACTGTGGCCAGTATCAGCAGCTGGTATCTGTTCAGTTGCTTGCAACAGTAGAGATGTGTTTTATTTTGTCTGAATTCCAATCAGTATTTAGTATTTAAGTGCCTTAAACCTTGAGGCAGATGGCCTTTTGCAAGACATGATGTACATTAACTGTTCAATTAAGCAACTAAGTGAACTGATGAGATAAGTAAGATCACAACTGCTGCTTCTACATTTATTATTGCTGCTACTATTTCAATATGGATATGTATATATCATTTTTAGACATGTATACTGCTGCTACTGTGTACAGTGTATTTGTATATAACTTGTGTTTTTATATCTGTGTGCTGTTCTATCCTTTGGTGCGAATGGTGGAATCTGAATTTCCCTGAGGGAACCTTCCCAAGAGATTAATAAAGTAACTCTCTATCTATCTCTCTGATAATGTTCTGTCTGGCAGTATTAAGAAAATCGTCTTAGCTGGTAAATTTGGTATTAAAAAATCTAATTTTATTCAGACTACTACAATTCACTTAGCAGACGCTTTTATCCAAAGCGACTACTAGAAATAGACACCTTAAAACCCCCTTTAATACCATTTTTGCTTTTCTCCCACTGATGCCATCAAGGTCCAGGATCATGTCCAGGTCGCAGCCCAGCTTTCCATAGCCATTCACGGATGAGCCAAACGGCTTGATGCTGCATTCTGGGAAATAAGCAGCAGCAATGTCCTTAAGTAGAGAGCACACGAGGAAACGCAGTCTGATGTTCTCCTCTGTTAGCTGATAAGCTTCTGTCAGGGCGGTTACCTGTTGGTCTATCTGAGGGGAAATGAAGAGACAGGTTAACACGCTTGTTGAGGCATACATTTGCATTACACTTTAAGACATCTACTGAAATAGATTTGTCTTTACTGCCGAATCCAAGTCACCTAATTAGTCCTTCAATTTAAACTTAATACAGAGTAGCAAACCACTTACACTTTCCTCTCTGGACAGTCTCTCTATCAGCGTGTTGATGGGAACAGTGGTTTGTGGTTGGCACAGCTGTCTGTGGGCTGAGTCAGCGGAGCCTATGTTCCTCAGTGACAGAAGTCTTGATTTAAAAGGCACCATGCATTCATGGCTAAAACTGGGAAAGGCTGTATCCTCTAGTAATGAGGAAACACTTTCCTGGTTGGTGTACTCTATGACAGCATACATTCCCTGTATAAAAACATCAAAACACACAGTTTAAAATCAACCTGAATCCTTTAATAACTGACAAGTCTGTTTCATGTACATCTTAAAACATGTAGGGAAATAAAGCATGTTCTTTCACTTACATAGCTTTCATAAAAGAAGTATTTCTGGATATCTCCATATTTGGATAAATACTTGACAAACTTTTTCTCATTGGTTTTGGAGAGGCAGCTGATAAGAACAGATCTCTCTGCCTGTTCTTGTCTCTTCGCCTGCACAGCATACAAAGATTGAGATCCATCCTTTACATCTGGCAACAACAATAAAAGGAGATATTAGGTGTTGAAGAAATTACTAAGACATTACTATTAAGACTTGACTCCATACAATAAGACTCAGTTGACTCAGATGGCTTACGTTGATGAAAGTTTATACATCAGATGAACACTCATGAGGAGACATGATTCAACATCACACTTCTGTACTCGTGTAGTGCTCAATCACATCTGCCGAACTTCTCGAAAGGCATCGCATATATCAGTGTTTCCCCTAACATTATATTGGGGGGCGGCCCGCCAATAGGTCAAGTAAAAAAGTCGTGTCGCTGTGTCGCCGTGTCCCTACCCCCCCAACGCTGTAAACCTATAGGGGAAACACTGTATATCCTATAAGACATTATCATTATCAGGGTCATGTCACATTGACCCACCTAGACTAATCTGTGACGTCTATAACACGGGAGCAGACAATACATCTACCTAACATCTTTGCAGATATCAGGAAAGACAGTTGACACTCCCCAAGCTGTCCTTGGTGTTCTAATCACAGCTGAACTCTGTCAGGTCTGACTGACATGATGAACAGTGAATAACCCTAGTGACATCTGTACATGATAATCTAAATAACTACAGAAATTCCACCACATTAGGGATGAATCAGTTCAACATCAGTATTGTACGATATTGGCCCTGTTGACAAACATCAGCAAACAATGTGGCATGATGATTATTTGTTACTTCATACTGACATCTAGTACACCTAACTACTGATTCAGATTAGAAGTATTTTTGTTGGGCAGATAAGGTCACCTGATGAAAAAACTCTAACTTGTTTTCATTGTCAAACATTAGAAAAAAGTTGGCATTGTGAGAGTGTTACAGCAAAAGAAGTCATGAAATAGGAATCAGCTAAGTAGTCATGACAAACATCAGTATCGGCCCTGATTTGCCAATCCGTGCCTCTCTAAATATATATATATTGATATTTTATCAAGAACATAATTCTATATTGTTCTGTTGTTATACTCATTTTGTAGGACAGCAGTTTGAAAAGTGTGGCCCAAAAGTCAAAACTTCTTACAAACACTTACATTTTGACAATAAGACAAACTTTTCGGGGAAGGCTATAATAGACTAACAAGACTCAAACTCGTCACGATGGCTGCCTTATGAACTCTATAACTCAGCATGCATATGTTTCCCACAGCGGCATACAATAATCTAATTCAGGGATGGGCAACTTTGGTCACAGCAAGGGCCACATTCATTTCATTCTCACTGCCAGAGGGCCAAATTACAGTCATTTATGTCTCAAACTTAAATCAACATATACCAGTGATCTAATATTATTATGGACATATTTCTGGTTTTCATGATTCATGGCAGATTTGTGTCATGTTTTTCTTCATGTTTCCAATCAATTGATATGTAAAAAATTGACCCGAGGGCCACGTTGAGGGTTGATGGGGGCCGCATGTGGCCCCCGGGCCGCCAGTTGCCCACCCTCGATCTAATTGTATGTTGAATAATTACTTATGTACATTACTTAATTTATTTATCTTCTCAGTGAACGTACAAAAGGCCGAATTTCACCGAACGCCCCATATTTATTACCTTTCAAATTCTCTATGTAAAAAGTGTTGAGATAGAGTTTAATACCAAGTGCTTCTGAAAATATAAAGATTTTATAATGAGGTTTGGACTGACGCTTTAATGCAGGCGAGACATGTATCATAGCTAGCTTGTTATACGAACCAGATTCTTCTTTACAAAGTGCTTCACCTTGCGCAACAACAGCATTGGTCCCAATATTTCTTCTAAGGAGTGTGTCGACCTTCTTTAAGCACTTCACCAGGCTGCCCCTTCCCGTCATATGTAACCTGCACACTGCAATGGAGGACGCCATTTCTGCTCCGAAAGAAACTGTAAGGCGCATGCGCACAGCTGTGTCTACGGCAGACGAGGTATACCAAAACTAGACAAATTGTTATTATTAATGTACAAAGGACAGGGGGGAAAAACTTTGTTTACTTGTTAGTAACTTGTAAGTTATTTTCCTAAGTGGGTTTTACATTCAAGCTTTACTAAAATTGGTCCTTGAATCAGGTTGTATCCAAGAACTTCAATAAACATTTATTCAGAGATGATTTCACATGAAGCAACATTTCCCACAGGAAAACACCAGAAAGCACCCGGTGATTCTGTGGAAGGTGATGCTCTGTTTTTCAACAATTAAGCCATTTGAACTTTGTTTTTCATCTGAGCAAACAGGAGAAAGGGAAAACGAAACTTACATAGAGTAAAGCGCACACACCTGACATTAAAGCACACTCCGCCCACACGCACTTCCTCTGTTTACTTCCTTCTATACTCAGCCGACCTATAACTCGGGCAGGCAGTCGGTGCTGTACTCTCCGCCAGAGACACACAATGAAGAGACGACAGTCATGTTAAGCTTCTGAGTCAGTTATATGGTAAGTATAGGCTACAGCATGTTTCTTACTTACAACATAACATGTGACGGTCGGATCTGCTAATCATTTGCAGAAATTGTTTGTTTGATTGTTTGCAACTTTTATTCCATCTCCCGAAATATCACTGAAATATAGGCTGTTATTTCAAGAGCCATCTTTTTTTGATTTTGTCGTTTTGAAATGTGATAAAAATAATCTTGAATCTGTAGTTTATTGGTTTGGTAGGCTTGGAAAAACCCAGTCTCAAAGTCAAATTTGGCACACACGGTGTCCATGCATTTCCTATCTGAGGTTCCATATTGCAATGACTACTAATGAGCTTTCCTTACTAACTGGTGTTTTCTAGATGTCAAGCAAGGTCTGCGCTTCCCTGGGGGGGGGCTTCCCGGCTTTACTGTGAAACTCCCTTCATTTGCTTGGAAAATATTCTGTTAGCCCCTCCCAGTCAGCTGAAACAACGTTTCATGCTTCTGAGAATTGTCACTCTGTAACCTGAACTCCAGATGAGCTGATCACTGACTGAATCTCGCAACTCTGATTTAAGTGGAGAAATGCTAATTAACTGACCGCTTCATGTTTCTTTTTAGAGCAAACAGCAGAAGTCACGCTTCAAGATGGATTACAAATATGATAATGGAGTAGAACTGCTTTTGGCTCATATGAACCTTGAGGATATCATCAACGCTGCAGAGAGACTGTATAAGCTTGAAGAAGTAGAGGAAGAGGAGGACGGGGGCTTATCATTTGAAGAGGAAGGTCTCTCCCAGGAGGAGATGGATGAGAATGAGGAGGTGGGGGACTCAGTTAGCTCTAGTGGTCAGCAGAAGGCCTTTGGGGTTGATGGAGTAAGTGGTGTTCGCTACGGGACAGTAGCAGACCTCTTGTCCTTCGTCAACCTGCTCTCCAACATGCAGACTGCAGCCCTGCAGGATGTGCCTGAGGAGATGGGAGTCCTGCTGAACAAGGTGAGAAGCATCTCAAAAATAATAACTGAATGTTTGTGAGCATGAAAATGAGTCTTTGTAATCTATTCAGTTTACAAAAGCAAGACACATCTTCCCTTTTTTTCTAACTGACCTTTGTTTGCAGAAGGACATGGCTGTGAAAAAAGGCCGCTACCGGATAAACATGGACGTGCTCCTCTTTCCATGGAAATTGACCTACAAGAATTACGGCTGTGGCCTCGTGCCCAAGGGCTCATTTGGGAAAGTCCACTTGGCTCAGGACACAAGCACCAGAAAAAGAATGGCATGCAAACTGGTGAGTCCTGCTCAGCAAAGACTGGAATACAGAAGCAGCCTGTGCTGAGTTCTCGAAAGTCAAGCCTTATAGATGCCAAGTATTTCACCTGGCAAGAACTATTTGTTCTCACAGCGACTTTTCCTGTTTGCTCAGTGTGCGTTAAGAGTCAACATGACATTTTGTACGTTTTGACATTTGAGTAAAAGAGGAACAGGGCTCTTCAAAAGAAGAACCCTTGTTTTTTTTGTGACAGTCTTACAGAAAGGGCCAAGATAAATGCAAGAATGGAAATTAAATTGGCCCATGTGAGAAGGGGCTTCGTGACGAGTGTGTTTACCGTTTCTCACATGGAAAATACTGACAAATGAGGGGGGCGAAACTTCCTACCTCTTGCTGCTGTTTTTATCAAATTGCAATGTTGACATAGTGTTCTGTACACACTGTTAACAATACACCAAGAGGGCTTACTGGAACTAGATCATGTGCTTGTTATCTTTTTTTTTAGATTTCCTGCATATCAGAATCTCGTCATTAAACCTTCATTCAACACATGGTCCATCAGGGAAACATTATTTAAGAATTAGTTTGGGGATATATTCCTTTTTGTTCCCTTGCTTGCAGTTAGATGAAAAGATACCATTTTTCTCTGGCAAGTTTAGTTTAGAATAAAGACTGAAAGCAGGAGCAACAGCCAGAGCAGCACCCAACTCAATACACAGAGGGTAGTGTTTGCCTTTCTGTTTGAGAACATATTAAACAAAAATGTAAACAAAGTTCATGGGATAGGTGAAAAAACAATCAGAAGACCGTGGCACACTGACATTTTTTTTTTACTATATTTTTATTGTGCACGAACAATGCGTTTCACCCTTAGCTTCTTCAGGTTCAGCACAATCACAGGGCAAACATTACACAGGTGTGTTTAATGCAAGTGGTCACATGACCAATCATCACAATAAACAGCCACAAATGGAAACACAATATATCAAGGTGCACACAGTGTGAGGAAAATAATTTTTCATAGTGCATCAACAATTGCACCTACAAATTCAAAGCATATTCACATAAATATGTTTACAAGAGGAACAAGACAACTACTAGTTTAAATCTAGTGGTCAGTGTCTTTTCCTATGTCTACCTGAAAATGCAAAAAAGTATTGTTGAGGGCAATATTGTACCTGTCCCTCTCCGTCTTAACAGGAAGGGGGGAGTGAGAAGGGTCCTTCCTAGTGGCTTAACTCTCCCTATGAGTCCTCATTCCCTGAGAACAGAGACAGGATATAGTAATTAGCCACACAAAAAACAGCTCAAGTCCTGTGCTTCATTGAGTCCATGTGGTTCAATTGTGTTCAGTTCGTAAATCCAAAATGCCTCCCTTTTTAAAAGTTGGTAACACTCACTCTTTCAATGCCAATGAATTGGAGGGTGGTAGCAGACCCATGGTTTTTCTCCTTATAGTGCCTAGCAATGGCATAATCCATGTTACCATTTCTGATGGCAGCCTTATGCTCCGCGATTCTTAGCTTTAAGTTTGGCTTGGTTTGGCCTACATACATCAGTGCCTTGGGATTGCAGGTAGTACTTCATGGGATAGGTGTTGAGGTGCTAGTAACTGGGACTTATGTACCTTCCCGCATAGCCAGGCCGAGGCCAGCCAGGTTCAGGGGCTGCAGGCCGAGTGGTTGCGGATTTAAGCTCACATCCTTTATTGGGTTGCAAAAATGTTGGGGAAACGACATGGAGGCGACTTGATCAGTAAGGAGTGGTGGGCAAGAAATGTTTGTCTTGCTGACAGCCCACACTTACTTATTAAAAATTGAGTCTCAGAGGTAAAACTTGAGACTTAAGTACCGTAGGCTTACAAAGGAATTTGGTGTGTAGATAAATTGTTGGGAAAGAGACATGGCTCATCAATGATTAATACTGTACAGACAAGTCTGATAGTCAAAATTCCAAGAATTGTGCAGCCTAGGATATACAAAAAGAACCTAGAATTAAGATAAAAAGGCATTTATTTACATTTCATCATCATTTTAACAGATCTCTATGGAGAACTTCAAAGCAGCGGAGGTGGAGTTCCAGGCACGGTTCCACCATGAGAACATAGCTCAACTATACGGCGCTCTGTTCTGGGATCAGAGCATCCACCTGTTCATGGAGGCCGGAGAGGGCGGCTCGGTCTTGGAGAAGCTGGACAGCTGTGGGCCAATGAGAGAGTTTGAGATCATCTGGGTGGCCAAGCAAGTCCTGCGGGGGCTGGAGTACCTGCACTCGAATAAAGTCATCCACCACGACATCAAACGTAAGAGCAAAATGGTGCAAGGCTTTCCACTTTCAGAGGGATTTTGAGGGTTGTGCTGCATTTCAGAAAGATAACACAAATGTGTCAGTAAGTTGTGAAATGTCACTTTTAACCCTATTTACGTCAGAGTCAAGCCACAGGGAGATGCAGCTCTTGATGAGAGAGTCAAGTGCCAAGAAGGAAAAATGTGAATCAGTCAAGATAACCACAACCAGACAGACCACAGAAATCCGACACTGAGATTCTTACAAACACACACACACACACACACACACACACACACACACACACACACACACACACACACACACACACACACACACACACACACACTTAGAGATATAGTGTTCAAATTTAGCCTGGTCACACTGACACACAGTCTGGCAGCTAATTACTTAAATGACAAGAAATGCTAGTTAGAGTAGGCATGGCTCAGCTGAGGTTAGATAGGTGATAGTTTTACAGTGGTTGGACCACAGTAGCGCTGCTGGGATCAAAGCTTTTTCCCAGAGCCATGTGTCAGCCTCATGGCCTTAAGGCTGTTTGGTGTCTGGAAAATCCAGCCTTCATCTTCTCATACTCTCTCTGGGTAAATAAGAGGGTCCTGACAGGCAAGTCTCCGACGACAATGGCCAGTCTTGCCCTGTGTCACATCGCTGTGGCTAAAGTGTTTCCTGCCTGTGATCAAAATATGTAATTAAACCTTGGTGGGTTTTTAAGAGCAATGATGAGACCTTCCACAAAAGGCTTGCCCTCAAATTATCTGTCAAATGCGTTGGCTAAAAGCATGAGACATGCTGGAATCTTAGAAGGCTCCAGTGCTCTTTTCCCATTTGCTAGTTAGCTCAGTATTCCTAAATGTTACAAATGTTTACCTTGAATGCCAACCTGCACTGCAAGCACGGTGCCTCTGCAGGAAGTGTGAATCATAAAAGTCATTTCTCTGTTTGTTTTTTTTAGCCAGTAACATCGTCCTGATGTCAGACAAGGCAGTGTTGGTCGACTTTGGTCTGGCAGTGCAGATGACAGAGGATCTATACATTCCCCGAGACCTGAGAGGAACAGAGGTAAGAAAAAAAAGCTTTAGTATTATTTATATAGAACTAGTATCACCTGGGGACCTCATGTGACTCAGACATGAACTGGGCTTTTCATGTTTCCTGCTCATTTTCACTAGAAAAGCCAAGTCTGGGTTTTACAGGCTGATGTTTAACGATTTACTGACGTGATGCCAAAGCTAACACTTGCCTCATAAGTTTACAATAACTACAATTAATACCGCATAATAACATAAAAATGGTTGTGATATGTCATCTTGTTCTACCTGAAAATTCTCTCTGCACGTGTATTGAAATTAGTCTCCGGAACATGCAATTCATACAAAAGTTTATGACGGCCTGCTTCAATACTTAGTGATAAGGGGACATATAAAACACAGACAAAACACCTTTGGAAAAAAAAGGAACAACCCCAGAGCTGCAAGATATGGATTTACAGAGAAGGACTAATGTTATCAAAGGACTTTCTCAGTTTTGCAAAATAAAGTTTCAGTAAGTGCTTTAGTGGTGGAAGTTTAGCTTTACAAAATGTAAGATAACAGAAGACATTGAGAATAATACATTTACAAGAAGGTCTGTTTGCAAATGTAGATCACAGGCTGCAAATATAAGGCTAAAATGCATGTGAAAATCCAACATGTCTTCTGTTTTTGTTTGGGCTAATCAATAGAGGAGTTGATAGTGGGTGTGCTTTTACAGAAAATGGCAGCACTCTTAATGACTCAGGCTAGACTTCCTTATGGCCTGGAACACTTAAGACTTGTCAGCACTTGTCTATGTAATTTCCAAAACGATTATAGGAAGTCAATGATTGGCAAGAGTTACTGCAGAGCAGTCAGTGCACTCATTGACCTGATGCTAATAACATCCTGCTGTTGTTGTCTTAGTGCAGATGTAATCATCAGTTTTGGGATTAATTCAGAAGATTTCTCACAAGGCTTTTCTCTCATGATGTATCCGTCTAGCTTTCCCATGTACTGGCTTTTGTTTGTTTGTCAGTGTGTTAGTAGTCCTTGTACTTGCACCCTGGGCCTCTCATGGCTTTACTTGTGGAAATTCCCAGGGCAGACACCAAGCAGTAATAATAAGAGATATAGAGCTAGCCTAACACTGGGCTGCTCAGGCTTATATTTACATGGGAAAGTAGGCTGGAATTTCCAGCAGAGAGGGATGTTACTTTGTTTACTTTTCATACTCAAAGTGTGGCCTGGTGCCCTTACCTTGACCGTGATACACACAGTTTTAAGTTTGTTGTAAACCCATAAAAGAGGAACTACTTCACACCTTTTCCAACAGCTCTGCCATTTTGTTGAATTCTTGTTATGTCTTTCTTTCATATAGATGCATATGAGTCCAGAGCTGGTTCTGTGTCGAGGACACAACACTAAGACGGACATCTACAGCCTGGGCACCACCATCATTCACATGCAGACTGGGAGCCCTCCGTGGGTCAGGAGATACCCACGCACCGCATACCCATCTTACCTCTACATTGTAAGCATTTTGCATCTTTTATGAAACATGGTTGTTGATTGGTCTGTTTGTTAAGAACCTTGATCCAAAATTAAATAACTCTTAATATTACACAACACGTTTCTCTTAAATTCAAAGCCTTGCCATTTTTGATAATTGATGTTTTTAGTATAATGTCTAAACTGGTGTTGAATTTGATTGCATTGGAAGTTGCTGGAAAAAGTGGTTGTTACAAAAGGGGGAATCCCTGAATTTAAGTAGCTAACAGATGTGTATTTTATCCTGAAGGGGAGCCAGGGAGAAACTTGTTGCGGATATTGATTTTGCTTTTACACAAATCCAATAGTGCCCAAAAGTCGGTCACAGTGGTAACTGTGGCTAGAGTATAAAATTCTGTACAACTTTGGTTTACAACTTTAAATTAAAGCTATTATACCAGACTTGCATTCAGCCAGAGTATTTTGTTTTCCATGACATTGCTCCGGTCTTCCACGGTCTAGATTATCACAAGATAAAAAAGGCTTAATGTGGCTGGTAACTGTGTGTGATCTATTGCCCGTGTAGTCAGACACTACTTCTGTTTTTCAAAGGTTTCCATGACATTGGTTCTTTGCTTTGTTTCTGGTTTTGAAATGACTCTTAGCTGTCATGACTTAGACCATTACTCACTTCCTCTTGGAACTGCTGTCATGGGGAAGTAAAGTGCCCCTCTTTTACAGGCTGAGCTATGCTACTTTTGCGTGTTTCCTCTTGCTGCACCAAACCTGTATTGCTAGCCACAAATCACAATGACACTCAAAGAAGAAAACTGGGTCACAGCTGCTGGATGACTTCTACCCAGCCTGTTGTTTTTCATTATTTGGAGGCTGTTACTGTCTGCCTTTTTCTCTCGTGCTAATGTGCTTTTCCTTTTTTCTGTCCTCACAGATCCACAAGCAGGCCCCACCTTTGGAGGACATACCAGAAGACTGCAGCCTGGCAATCCGCTCCTTCCTGGAGCGAGCCCTGGAGAGGAACCCTACCCTGCGTAGCTCTGCCTCTGAACTTTTAAAGCATGAGGCCATCAACCCACCAAGGGAAGATCAACCACGCTGCTGGAGCCTGGACTCTGCCCTGGAGGAGGCAAACCACACCATGCTACGTCAACAGAGCCAGCACCCCGACACCACACAGGGTAAGGACTGAAGTGTTTAGGACAGTTTTGTTCAGGTACTCAATGAGAAATACTTATGACATTTATGACATGCTCTCTTCTCTTTTTTGCAGAATCTTCTCTGTACTCTGAAGACTCCGGTCACATAAAAAGGAAGGGCTCCTTGTACATTGACCTTGGTGCCTTGTCTGGTTACTGTAAACTCGTGACAGGGCCCCCCACCTCAGAATATGGCTAACACCGGACTGCAGCTCAATATTTGTGAAGCTGTACATTTTTTCATTTAAGTATGGCCGACACTCCACTTCTGGATGACCGGTAGAATTTTTCAGAAGGATGACCAGCTGCAGGCGACATGGCTCATCAATGGACTGAAATGTGTTTACAGGACACAAGAGACTTAAAAGGAAAGGTACTAGCTCAGTCTTGTTGCTGGAAATAGACAACGCTGCAGGACAGTGGTTGAAAGAGATGCATTGTGTATCAATATGTGTTTACTGTTAGCTATTGGTTATATGTACATGCTATAATGTAGAGTGGTAGTTAATACAGTAATTAAACATGTGCTTTTTATTTCACAGATCGATGGCTTATATATATGTTAAGCATTAAAATAGTTAGGCTATCTTTAAAAGTATGGATGCACTCTGCTAACATGTATAATTTGTAGTTCTTAGGGACTTCCTCTTGTTAATTCCTATGGAATTTCAATAGTATGGTGATATGGTGAGTATGGTGTGCAAATGCAAATATATGGGGTGCTTGTGAAATCTGATTTCTATTTTGTACATCCTGTGAGATGAGGCCTGCTGTGCTGGTTTGAGCCTAATTGATGCAGCATTTATGAGATACTTATTTTAAAAGGGAAAAAAATTAACCTTTCACTGATTAGGACAACCAATATAGAAAATATCTGAAATGCAATCCAATTGTTGCCCCCATGACTCTTCAAAGACACTGTGAATTAGCTAAATTGATACATTTTGAGTATGTTTCTGCACCTTCCTGCCTGAGTGTGCTGCAGACAGTGCTAAGAGTGTTGTAAACTGTGGTGATGACAACCTTGGAAACTATGTGATAACACCATTTCAAAATCAACCTAAGCATTTGTTGTCTTCATAATCAGTTCATAGAGGGCGCACGTGTTCACGGATACCAAAACAGGCCATAGGTTCAAATTGACTTTTTAATTCAAATAACTTTTGTGTTACTTGTGTTTTCTTCAGTACCAAAAGTTGCAAATGCCAAAGTTTGAAAGTGTGTCAGTTATTATAAATAAATGCAATAAAATGAAAATCCCATCCTGTTTGTGATACTTTGAGAATGTCCTATCTTATCTTTTGGAAACAACGGCACACATATGACACACATATCTTTTACAAAGAGGGTCATGGCTTTCCTTGCACAACTTCTAGCTTTAAAAGCTGTGTACACAGATTTGGTATTTGATAATGAAATGACAGTCCTGACCACTTATGAGTGTTATTGGAAAGAACAGAATGAGTTTTGTCACTTCGTAAGGGGACACGGTTCTGCGGTTGAGAGTGGGTGGGGACATTAAAGTTTCCCTTTTTATTTGGCTCGGTCCCCTTTCTACAATTAAAGTCAAAAAAGAAATATGACCCGGCAGCATCAGTGCGCCCACATAGACTATCTTCTCTCACCATCTACTATGCTGATATAAGCCCACTAACACTCTCACTAGATGTTTACACAAGCTTCTTTCAGACAAGTGTAGCATTTGCTTTCCATCTTGGACCCCAGATTGGCAATGAGTGTTCTTATTTAACATAAATGAGTTTATTGGGTAAACATTACCTGTACCATATAACTTTGTGTTAGTTCAATGATTTTCTTTGGATTCTACTTCTGGAATTTTAGTTGCATTTTAAGAACAGATATTTGACTTTTATGAGAGGTGAAAAAGTAGAATCTGAAAACTTGACTGCTGCACGTCGTTTTATGTCAGCCATCCATAGTATTTTATTTGTGTGTTTAGTTGCATCGGGACAATGTATTTACCCCACATTAAGAAAAAATAGCAAAAACTAGAATGCCGTGGCTAAATACAGTCGACCTATTCTGCGATATGTCAGCAGTAAAGAGGTACATAATGGTAAAATCCCCAAACTAATGTGTAATACAAATCTTATTAGTAATCATTTTTTCTAGATTGCCACAATGAAAGCTAGATCAAACAGGTGATAAATTAGTAGTGGAGGTATTTTCCTTCCTATTGTTAAGTGTTACTCACTCATGGTATCGCATGCATATCTATAACTAGATTTGCATCAGGGAAACACAAGCGGTGTGTGAAGTGTTTTTCGGTAATCTGTTACACAGCATATGCTTCCTCTTTCCAAGAGCGTCACACGTGAGTGTGTGTGAAGCTCTGCAGTAGAGGGGCTTGCCTCAGAGTTAAATATGAAAGTAGACCTTTTTTCTGTCATTTTTTCATGGGAAGCCAATAAGTTTAGTTTTTCTTTATTTGAATCCGGGACAGTGTATGAAAAAACATAAGTCTCAGAAGAGAAAAGATGCTTTGTACAGATTTAGCTGACTAGCTAGTTATTATCTGTTGTCCCTGGGCAGATGATGGCAACAGCAAAATACAGATCAACCAGTCATGCAGACACGCAAACAAACATTTTATAAGAGTAGAAGAACACAGTTTAAAACATTATGTACACGGTTCTTTGAGTTGTAGAAAAGTTGACAAAATGACAAATTAATGCTGACAAGACTGGTTCCTTAAAATATATTTTCTGACTTTGTGTGAGTGGAAGTGAAAGTTTCAGATGAATGCAAAAGACAAATACTGCCACCTAGCGGTCATAGTAGATACAGCTCTATTGAACATATTGTTCAGAGAAGGAACTCAACATTACAGTAATATCCTTTATGTTGATTAACAGATATAAAGAGGAACATTTGAATAAAACAAAGCCTGATTTATGGATTTAACAAGGGGTCATGTAGACGTCCTGCTAAAGATACCACTGAGAGGTTTTTCATTCTGAGCTCAGCAGATCATGGTAACCTGCAAAGCATGATTTAGATGTATCAGACGTGATTTTCTTTGTGTTTCTCTTTACTACGTTGCATTGTTTAGATTCAGCATGGTTGTCATCCTGCTATTTAGCATTATCCCAATCTTAAGTGTTATATGGCATTGCTTCTTTTGCTTTTCACTTCTTCACAAGATCTCCATTTCAAAAGTGTTTATTCCATTTACAGACTGTTTCTACACGGTCTTTAATGTTTCATCAAAGACACTCCCTGACTTCTCTTAAATGTGTGTATATTTGTCATTTCTGGTATGTTTATGTTTGCTGATATACATTTATCCTACCAAGCTTGAAAAATAACAAAGGAAATTACAAGTAAAGGGGTCTAGGGGGATTCTTCTGCAGAATAAAGATGAGCAGGTAGATTTAGAAAAAAAGACGTGCTTTCGATAAAGAAATAAGTGACAGTGGAAGAAGTACTGAGATCTAAAAAGCTGCCTTTAAGTAGTAATACCACAGTGCAGAAATAACTTTGAACAAGTTTAAGTCCTGCTTTGAAAGTGACCTGCATCAAAATGACCTAATGAACAAACTCTACTTCTAAGTAGACCAGTCTCTCAGGTTTATTAAAGAGTGCACAGTCAAGCCCTGAACTCTCAACCTTCTGACACTGGGAGATAACTACAGGTTATTCATAACTTAATTACTTAAATTTAGTTGAATCTCCACCTTCTTCTAATGCAGAAACATTTACCTCACAACTCCAAACCATCTGTTGTTGGAGAAATTATTCTTTGAGGTTGAAACAGTCTGGTTGTGAGCAGAGTGATTCAAACCTGAACAGAGAGACCCCAATAGTTTTCAAGTCATCGCCTTAACCACTCGCCAGAACTAGAGCAGAAGGGACAGCCAGGGTGGGGGGGAAAAGGATACAGACAGAGGGGAAGAAGAAGAGAGAACTACTTTAATAATAATAAAACAGGTCATTTTCAACACAATAGAGTCCTTTCAGTGACTTTAAACTAATAAAAAAAAGGTCAATTCAAGTTTCTTAGTAAACGATTTTGGCCTCAAGTAAAACAGATTTGAATTCTTGATGAATGTTATTGAGTGTCACACCTCTGATTTAAAAAAAAAATGAATCCACTAACAGCCTATTCATGCGTTCAGGCATGTTGATTTCTGCAAAAAAAATTAGTCCAGCCCCTAATGAGGTCTCTCCTGCACTTCCACCAGTCAAACCTATAAAGGATAATAGTTAATGTATAGCTGGAAGAGAAGATGCTGGTATCAGAACATGGGTAAGCAGGGGATTATGTAATATAATGAATCTCTACAATGATGGGAGGCTAATGTCATGTAATCAACTATGAGAAAAATATGATATTCATTTCCAGGACTTTTACAAGGAGATTTTACAAACAAGACATTTGATTTCTGTATCTCAAAATAACTCACGCTCAGCCACCTCTCTTAGAAAGTTTGATAAGGAAGCAGTTTGCTTAAGGACACAAGTGTTTGTAGATAACTCCCATGAATCTTCAAAAGCTGAGCGCCAAAGCTGGAGTGTAGATTCTCAGGAGGGTTTTCATGTTACAGTCTCTGAAACTCTAGTGAATATGATACCTGATGTATAATGCAAAGCTGTAGAATAAGTGACATTTCAAATAACTGCAGCTCAACGACCAACCAGAGTGAAAAGAAAACAGAGAAACAAAGATGAGAGGATCTAATTATGGGATTTATGTCACTATTTTAATCATAGGACCTACATTCACTATTTGTACTACTAAAGAAAACATTGTAATCTGCGATGGCCGGGAATCGAACCCGGGTCAACTGCTTGGAAGGCAGCTATGCTCACCACTATACCACCATCGCGATGCAGAAGAAAAGTTCTATTGCCAACTCAGCAGTTTCCTCAGTGTGCGTTTGACTGAGAGAGGGAGGAGAGGGGGAAAAGGAGGAGGAGCTGATGAGAGGAAGAGGAGGGGCACAGTGAGTCATTTTGAGATACAGATGCAGTTGTAGCTCTTTAGTTCTGTAAATGCTGCTTATTATATACCACTACATAACACTGCAGCTGTAAAAAAAAAAAAAATGCAATATTGGTCCCTTTAAAGGGTTAATGCAGAGATGTTCCCTGCTGGAGTCAGACTGTTTTCTTCACCACATTCTTGTCATTCTTTTAATCGCTAAAAGTTACAGAGCGGCAAAAACAGTCAGGCGAGATTCACAAAAATTGGCATTTGGGTTGCAACACAGACACATAACTCATGCACATTGAAAACAACAATCCTTGACCCAAAGTTGAGCTGTGACTATAACATTCACAGTGCCCTACTTGTCTTCTGCTCAAAGTAATGTCATGACTTGTGAGGGTTTCTTGAATTGCTTTCGTTCACACCTTGGGATTTGTAAAGCAGACTAAAAAAAAACATCTCAACATAACACTCATTATTCTGTTACAAAAGAATTATAAAAACACATCATCTTAAGATCTTTAATAGTCCAGGCATTTTCTCTACATGTTGCAAACTAAAAGTTTTTTCCTTTCACTGTTTTAATAAAAATGGTTTCATAAAGAGCTTCCTCTAGCCTGGTAATGAATTGAAAGAAAGGTCATTCCCTGTCTTCGTTCTCTCATTCATGAGTTGTAAAATCCAAAAAAACGATATCAACTCAAGCAATAATGGTACATTTTTATTTCAGACCTGAGCGGTTTCCACAAGATCTGATGTTTTGATGCAGGACAGAGGAGCTAACTCTTCTGTGTTATGACTTAAAAGAAGCATATCAAGTTTTTTAATGAAACCAAAAACATACTAACCCTTACTCTCTCTCTCTCTCTCTCTCTAAGATTTCTCCTTCTCCTTTCTGATTCCATTACAATTAACAGTGCAAGCAAACCAGGGGCGCTGGAGGTTACTTTTAGATGGGGGTGTTCTGAGAAGTCAGTCTATATGATGACATCACACTACCTGCTGTGCAAATTCATATTTCATGAATTAATCTTTGCACTCAGGATTGTAAATACTTCAATAGTATTAACAGTAGTTCTTACTGATTTTAGAAGATTTCACACTTGAGCAGATGGCAACCCTTCAACCCTTGAAGTGAAAGTTCTAACAGGCATGTCCTGTTTAAAACAAACAGAGCAGTGAAGGTGACAAGCATAAGTGCATATGCACACTCAATGAACATTTGAGCTGTTTGGACAGCATTAGTCTGAAAACAGAGACTGCAGTCTGCAGGGTTTTGTTACTTTAGAACAAATCATCAGTTGATGTTAAATTCTCATCTGTTATGTTAGCACTCTCTTACACATCTGTATAAGCTCTCTCTCCCTCCCTCTTAGAGGTTGTTCTAAAGTTATTAAGAAATAAGCAACCAGAACCAAAATATAGGATTACTTTAAGTTATGCTGCGCTAGCTGACAGGATGATCACACGTGTTTGATGATGTTTAAAACTGCTGAGAGACTCCTCAATGTGTGCACAACAATTGAAAAGCTCTGACCTGCAGGACAGAATTTAACTGTTTATTTCACTTTTTCTGAACACGGGTCACACCTCTTCTAAATCTGCACTTTTTCCGCTAAGAAAACAATGTATTCTGCGATGGCCGGGAATCCAACCCGGGTCAACTGCTTGGAAGGCAGCTATGCTCACCACTATACCACCATCGCAATGCAAGACAAAAGTTCTGTTGCCAACTCAGCAGTTTCCTCAGTGTGAGCGTTTGAGGAGAGGGAAAAAAAACAAGGAGGAGCTGATGAGAGGAGGAGGGAGGTATTCAGAGAGAGAGGAGAAGAAGTTGTAACTCTTTAGTTCTGTGAAAGCAGCTTTTTAAGTATGAGGGACAAAAATGACTTCAGAGCAGATAATTCAATAAATGAATGAATAAATGAATAAAACATTGTAATGTATTTATTTTGTCAAATGTATTCATTTCCACGTGTATTTGTCTGTACTCGTATCTCCTTGTTGTACAAGGAAATAATTAATTAAGTGGTTGGTCCTAACATTACTCTGAACCCCCCCCCCCCCTCCCCACCGGATTGTTGATGGACGGTCTGCCTCCCCCAACCCCCTTGCTTCGTCATGAGTCGGGGAAGATTTCTGCCTTTTAATAAGACAGTTTTTTTCTCACCACTGTAACTTTGCTGCTTTGCTAAAGTGCTCATGATGGATAGGCCGGGTCTTTGTAATATAACAATGAGTAAGGTCTTTTTACCTGCTTTTTGTAACATAACAATGAGTAAGGTCTTTTTACCTGCTCTTTTGTAATGTTAACAGACAAAGAGTAATCTATTTTACCTGCTTTTTGTAAAGTGTCTTGAGATAACACTTGTTATGAGTTGACGCTATACAAAATAAACTGAATTGAATTGAATTGAATTGAATTGAATTGAATTGAATTGAATTGAATTGAATTGAAGCAGGATTGTTCAATTTGTAAACCCAGACAGAAGCAATCGATTCCTCACATTTTTAACTATTAGCTTAATTTTAGCCAGTACTAGGCTAATGACGTCCCTTAGGGCAGTGTTTCCTCGACCATTATATTGCGGGGGCGCCCCCCGCCCCCCTGAAGGTCAAGTAAAAAAATAAAAATATAAGATTCATTTTTGGACTCTTTGTGCTTTTATTGTAGGGATATGATAGTGGATAGAGTCGGAAATCAGGGAAAGAAGTCATTTAAGGATACCTTTTTGATAGAAAATGACATCTGTCATTAAAAGTAACACATGAACACCAAGATTCCTTCAAGTGTTTGCGTCGTCATGTCGCCGAGTCGGCTTGTCCCAACCCCCCCAACACTGTAAACACTGGAAACACTGCTTAGAAGGCAGCTATGCTCACCACTATACCACCATCACGCTGAAATGAAAAGTTCTGGATAGAATTGTATCTCTTATCAGACTTATGATCAATCCTTTTGTAGAGTAGTAATACCACAGTGCAGAAATAACTTTGAACAAGTTTAAGTCCTGCTTTGAAAGTGACCTGCATCAAAATGATGAAACTAAATAGACTGGTCTCCCAGTGTCAACCTTGTGACACTGGGAGATATTTATGAGTTAATCATTAACTTACCTACAGTCAAATCTCCACTTTTTCTAGTGCAGAAACATTTAGTTGTTGGAGAAACAGCAGGTGCTAACTACTTCTCAGAGTGATGTTGTGAGCAGAGTGGGATTCAAACCTGCGCAGAGGGACCCCAACAGCTTTCAAGTCCATCGCCTTAACCACTCGCCCAGAACATTGCTTAACAGCAGAAGTGGCATTGCTCCATAAAGTGTTTGTAGATGACTCCCATGAATCTCCAAAGGCTGAGTGCCAAAGCTGGAGTGTAGATTTTCAGGAGGGTTTTCATGTTACAGTCTCTGAAACTCTAGTGAATATGATACCTGATGTATAATGCAAATGTAGAATAAGTGACATTTAAATAACTGCAGCTCAACGACCAACCAGAGTGAAAAGAAAACAGAGAAACAAAGATGAGAGGATCTAATTATGGGATTTATGTCACTATTTTAATCATTGGACCTACATTCACTATTTGTACTACTAAAGAAAACATTGTAATCTGCGATGGCCGGGAATCGAACCCGGGTCAACTGCTTGGAAGGCAGCTATGCTCACCACTATACCACTATACCACCATCGCTATGTAAGACAAAAGTTCTGTTGCCAACTCAGCAGTTTCCTCAGTGAGAGAGTTTGAGGAGAGGGAAAAAAAACAAGGAGGAGCTGATGAGAGGAGGAGGGAGGTACTCAGAGAGAGAGGAGAAGAAGTTGTAACTCTTTAGTTCTGTGAAAGCAGCTTTTTAAGTATGAGGGACAAAAATGACTTCAGAGCAGATAATTCAATAAATGAATGAATAAATGAATAAAACATTGTAATGTATTTATTTTGTCAAATGTATTCATTTCCACGTGTATTTGTCTGTACTCGTATCTCCTTGTTGTACAAGGAAATAATTAATTAAGTGGTTGGTCCTAACATTACTCTGAAGCAGGATTGTTCAATTTGTAAACCCAGACAGAAGCAATCGATTCCTCACATTTTTACCATTAGATTAATTTTAGCCAGTACTAGGCTAATGATGTTCCTTAGGGTACGCTTCAGTTCCCTTAACTGCATGCATGCATCCCTCACTTATTGCCTCCTCCACTTGCGTCTTAGTCCCGCCCACCAGAGATGCATGGAGAGATGCAAGGAAACGATGCAGAGGAGAGAGGAAACAAGGAAATATGTTTTAAGAGACATGAGACGTCCGTTCCACTGAAACGGCTGATCACTGTTCAGTTGTCAGTCTGTTTTCACAGAAATACACACTGTATTATTTCTAATAAAGTACACACAGTTTAGTCTCTTTATGTTACCTGATAACAAACACCTGCACATGAAGAACAACCTGCAGACGACTTAAAACCGAAGGACAATTTGAAGTAAATCTATGTTTATTTATTGACACATTGCTTCATGTATTCATGTATGTATTTATTCCAGCATTTGATTTATTATCCATTTATCCTTTTTTTCTATTGTACTTAAAGTCATTTTTTGTCCTTCCTTAAGAAAACAACGTAATCTGCGATGGCCGGGAATCGAACCCGGGTCAACTGCTTGGAAGGCAGCTATGCTCACCACTATACCACCATCGCGCTGAAGAAGAAAAGTTCTGTTGCCAACTCAGCAGTCACCTCAGTGTGAGAGTTTGAGGAGAGGGAAAAAAAACAAGGAGGAGCTGATGAGAGGAGGAGGGAGGTATTCAGGCACACCGTAGATCATCCTCTCCAGTGTCTCCCTGTAGTCTCAGTGATGGAAAACAAACACTGCTGCCTCTTTAAATGTCTCATTCACTGCTGCCTCTTTAAATGTCTCATTCACTGCTGCCTCTTTAAATGTCTCATTCACTGCTGCCTCTTTAAATGTCTCATTCCACTTATTAAAACTCTCAGAAAGCTCGCCTCATAAGTCTTAAGTAATATTGACCTTATGACATCAAACATTTCACTTTGTGACTCTTCCTTAGAGCTGATTTGTTCATTTAATGTCCTAGCCTTCCATCTTCAAGAAGGTCCTAATTTATTTCAAAATAAAAGCTGGATTGAATTCAAACAGCAAGTAAAGTATTCTCAGATTGAGACAAACAAAAATAAGAATTAAAGCCAAACATTTTTTTTAAATTAAGAAATAATGGCAACTTGCCATTAAAATCCAGCTCACTTTTTAAATTTAGCAACAATCCTGATTTAAAATTGAATTGACAGCCCTATTTTGTCTATGTTTGAATCCTGTGTTTGACAGGTCTCGATTTAGAATGTAAATTTAAAAACATAATAAAAACGTCAGGCTTCAGCAATCACAATATGTTTAGATTTTAAGCAAGGCACCATCTTTAAATGTTACAAAACTAAATCAGTTCATTCTGAGCTCAGCAGATCATGGCAAGCCTGCAAAGCATGATTTAGATGTATCAGACGTGATTTTCTTTGTGTTTCTCTTTACTACGTTGCATTGTTTAGATTCAGCATGGTTGTCATCCTGCTATTTAGCATTATCCCAATCTTAAGTGTTATATGGCATTGCTTCTTTTGCTTTTCACTTCTTCACAAGATCTCTATTTCGAAAGTGTTTATTCCATTTACAGACTGTTTCTACACGCTCTTTAATGTTTCATCAAAGACACTTCCTGACTTCTCTTAAATGTGTGGATATTTGTCATTTCTGGTATGTTTATATGTTTGCTGATATACATTTATCCTACCAAGCTTGAAAAATAACAAAGGAAATTACAAGTAAAGGGGTCTAGGGGGATTCTTCTGCAGAATAAAGATGAGCAGGTAGATTTAGAAAAAAAGACGTGCTTTAGATAAAGAAATAAGTGACAGTGGAAGAAGTACTGAGATCTAAAAAGCAGCCTTTAAGAAGTAATAACAAGTTTAAGTCCTGCTTTGAAAGTGACCTGCATCAAAATGACCTCAACAGCTTTCAAGTCCATCACCTTAACCACTCACCCAGAACTTTGCTTAAAAACACAAGTGGCATTGCTCCATAAAGTGTTTGTAGATAACTCCCATGAATCTCCAAAGGCTGAGCACCAAAGCTGGAGTGTAGATTTTCAGGAGGGTTTTCATGTTACAGTCTCTGAAACTCTAGTGAATATGATACCTGATGTATAATGCAAAGCTGTAGAATAAGTGACATTTAAATAACTGCAGCTCAACGACCAACCAGAGTGAAAAGAAAACAGAGAAACAAAGATGAGAGGATCTAATTATGGGATTTATGTCACTATTTTAATCATAGGACCTACATTCACTATTTGTACTACTAAAGAAAACATTGTAATCTGCGATGGCCGGGAATCGAACCCGGGTCAACTGCTTGGAAGGCAGCTATGCTCACCACTATACCACCATCGCTATGCAAGAGAAAAGTTCTGTTGCCAACTCAGCAGTTTCCTCAGTGTGAGAGTTTGAGGAGAGGGAAAGAAAACAAGGAGGAGCTGATGAGAGGAGGAGGGAGGGACTCAGAGAGAGAGGAGAAGAAGTTGTAACTCTTTAGTTCTGTGAAAGCAGCTTTTTAAGTATGAGGGACAAAAATGACTTCAGAGCAGATAATTCAATAAATGAATGAATAAATGAATAAAACATTGTAATGTATTTATTTTGTCAAATGTATTCATTTCCACGTGTATTTGTCTGTACTTGTATCTCCTTGTTGTACAAGGAAAAAATTAATTAAGTGGTTGGTCCTAACATTACTCTGAAGCAGGATTGTTCAATTTGTAAACCCAGACAGAAGCAATCGATTCCTCACATTTTTACCATTATATTAATTTTAGCCAGTACTAGGCTAATGATGTTCCTTAGGGTACGCTTCAGTTCCCTTAACTGCATGCATGCATCCCTCACTTATTGCCTCCTCCACTTGCGTCTTAGTCCCGCCCACCAGAGATGCAAGGAAACGATGCAGAGGAGAGAGGAAACAAGGAAATATGTTTTAAGAGACATGAGACGTCCGTTCCACTGAAACGGCTGATCACTGTTCAGTTGTCAGTCTGTTTTCACAGAAATACACACTGTATTATTTCTAATAAAGTACACACAGTTTAGTCTCTTTATGTTACCTGATAACAAACACCTGCACATGAAGAACAACCTGCAGACGACTTAAAACCTAAGGACAATTTGAAGTAAATCTATGTTTATTTATTGACACATTGCTTCATGTATTCATGTATGTATTTATTCCAGCATTTGTTTTATTATCCATTTATCCTTTTTTTCTATTGTACTTAAAGTCATTTTTTGTCCCTCCTTAAGAAAACAACGCAATCTGCGATGGCCGGGAATCGAACCCGGGTCAACTGCTTGGAAGGCAGCTATGCTCACCACTATACCACCATCGCGATACAAGAGAAAAGTTCTGTTGCCAACTCAGCAGTCTCCTCAGTGTGAGAGTTTGAGGAGAGGGAAAAAAACAAGGAGGAGCTGATGAGAGGAGGAGGGAGGGACTCAGAGAGAGAGGAGAAGAAGTTGTAACTTGTTAGTTCTCTAAAAGCAGCTTATTCAGTGTCTGACACACGATAAAACTATTACTGAAAACATGCAGGGTTTACTAAGGAGAGGTCAAAGCAGATAGGCTGAGTTGTTTTTAGTTTCCGTCTTCTCAGTTCTTACTTTCTTTGCTGAAAGTGTTTGTGGGTAAAGAACTCATAACTAACCTGAAGTTCCAAGAAAGCTAAGTTCATACATAACACTCAGATTCATTTAATGACTGAAAGTGACCCAACAAGCTGCTGTGACAATGACATGGATGTTTTTGAACAACACCTTGTCATAAAGTTAAACTTCTCTTACTCAAATCTTCTGATTTCTCTTTAGGTTTTTGTTTTTTTTGCTCTAAAAATGTCACATTGATGAATTTTTTTCGGGCTGTCAGCATTTACAAGTAAATCATAATTAACCTCATGCTATTTTGTCCTTTCAGGCACACCGTAGATCATCCTCTCCAGTGTCTCCCTGTAGTCTCAGTGATGGAAAACAAACACTGCTGCCTCTTTAAATGTCTCATTCACTGCTGCCTCTTTAAATGTCTCGTTCACTGCTGCCTCTTTAAATGTCTCATTCACTGCTGCCTCTTTAAATGTCTCATTCCACTTATTAAAACTCTCAGAAAGCTCGCCTCATAAGTCTTAAGTAATATTGACCTTATGACATCAAACATTTCACTTTGTGACTCTTCCTTAGAGCTGATTTGTTCATTTAATGTCCTAGCCTTCCATCTTCAAGAAGGTCCTAATTTATTTCAAAATAAAAGCTGGATTGAATTCAAACAGCAAGTAAAGTATTCTCAGATTGAGACAAACAAAAATAAGAATATAAGCCAAACTTTTTTTTTAAATTAAGAAATAATGGCAACTTGCCATTAAAATCCAGCTCACTTTTTAAATTTAGCAACAATCCCGATTTAAAATTGAATTGACAGCCCTATTTTGTCTATGTTTGAATCCTGTGTTTGACAGGTCTCGATTTAGAATGTAAATTTAAAAACATAATAAAAACGTCAGGCTTCAGCAATCACAATATATTTAGATTTTAAGCAAGGCACAATCTTTAAATGTTACAAAACTAAATCAGTTCATTCTGAGCTCA